TTGTACAGATAAAGTATATATAATAACTAAGACTACAACATAGCTAGAAACCAAGTTCCAAAACTGTTCTACTTTGGACCCCAATGTATTCAGTGTAAGCTCAGCTGGGATAAAACATTTTCTTCCTCTCCTGAAACAAGGCCAAGGATACAGCAGGTCTTCGAGTAAATGGCCATAGCTGTGCAGTGTTCACACAGGTGCAAGGCAAGAAAAGCAGCCAGCTGGCAGCCTTTTATAAACATTATTGAATGTTCTTGGCCTCCGTATAAAATGGAGGATGGGAAAAGACACACACAAACCTAACCATGAGATTTGAATCTGCAAAACTTGTCTATAGGTCTATTGGATACTCCATTAACTTTTCCTATAGGAAGGCTAGAGCCCCTTTCATCCTCATGCAAATCCATGCCTGGATGACCCATACTGGGATTAGTTCAAAACTGCATTATGCTTTAAATATGTGCCTTGAGGACTGGAGGTAGGACTGCTGGGGAAGGAGCAGTTGGGGGAGCAGGTTGGGAAGCCAAGCTAAACCACTGCCTTCCAGCAGGGTCATAACTCTGGCAAAGTAAAGGAACCTTTGATCTATGCTTGGACCAATTCTTGCACCTTGTCACTTGCATGAGTATGTCAGATGATGCCAATTAGACTCACAGTAAACCTCAATAAAACTCCAGGCTTTTAACATTATCTTGACAGAACCTTAGGAGAAACAGTTTTCTCCAAATTCATCCAGGGATGAAATAGGAGTCAGTTAATTTGTACAGTTAATTTGACCTTTCTTGTGAACAGCAAGTACTCAGGCCTGAAGAATGCACCACTAGCGTGTGGTTCAGGTTCTTGCCTCTTGCTGGTTTCTTTAGTGAGTGCTCCCAGTGCATAAATTCCCCAAAATACAAATAAAAAAGGGCAGAGGGCATGCACCAATAGCAACTATGGAAAGATTAAAGTTTTTCTGATTTCAGCATCTTACTGCCTTTTATCACATCTTACTGATCTGAAGGGGGTTGAGGGGAGCAGATGTGGTTTGGAAAGAGTTTGAGCAGATTTACTGCTGCTTCAGCTGACATATGGTAAATAGCCATAGTAAGCTTACTGCGGTCCAGTGCAAAGTGAATAGAATAGAATAGAATAGAATAGAATAGAATAGAATAGAATAGAATAGAATAGAATAGAATAGAATAGAATAGGAATAGGAATGGAATAGAATAGAATAATTTCCGTTGGAAGAGACCTATAACAACTATCTAGTCCAACTGCCTCACTGGAAAGGAGTTGGTTTAAACCGCAGAGCCCATTCTCATGACTGAACCGAGAACTTGACTCCATCTGTAGGTTTCTAACTCCTTACTCTGCTTGAACTTACTCCTGAGAACAAATCTGACCCCACCACCAGTGAGCACTTTTTGGTGAGTTGGAAAAACAGTAAGGCTAGTGTTTCTCTCTCACTGATACTCCCTTTAAAAATTCCACTGCCTTTTGATGAACACAGTGTGTCCTACCCTTGTCTCTGCAATGGCAAAAAGAACACACAGCAGTGAATGTGATTTTTCTCAGGAAAGAATCAAGCAGAAGTAACAACCTCTGTGTCTGGGCCCTATCCGTTTCCAAGGAGGGGACTATTTTTAATCCATCATCTTGCATTTTAAAGTAGTCATAATCATAAAGATAAGAGATATCATGTTAATATCTTGTTTGTTAGCTCTGGGATAGTACTCAAACACAAAAAAGTCATTGTAAACACCCTGCAATTTACAAATATAGCATATCGACGGGGTGTGCTTTGAAATCAAGAAGGGTAAGGTCACCCTGTAAGTCTCATCAGAAGCATCTTAATACAAAAGCTGTAATCACAGAATTACTGGCTTTAAAGTACTGAATTCCCTAAGGGAAGTTTTATAATGCAAAGGAGTGTAATCATGTTTGATTTTCTTTACTGCTACCTTGAATGTAGATCTGAAAAAAATCACTATTAATCTAAGCCAGACAACACAGGCCTTAAATAAATATGTAAAACAAAATCTTAAAATTATATTCATGCTGATTCCAGCTTCTCATTTACAGGGGGGAAAAAAGCTCTATTAGACTGTCCTTTTTCCCTACTGTGTTTTCTGCACAGGCTATGGAGCATTTACCTGCTAAAAATAAAATGTGTTTTTAAGGTTAGAACTTTGTTTATCTCAAGTAAAACCTGATCATCTGAACAAATAAGCAGAGGAAGTTGGATTCATTCTGATCTCTCAAGACTTACAAACTCTGATGGCTTGTAGCTTAGAAATATCTGTCCCAGAAGAGTAAGTATTTAATTGTTCTGAAAATGTTCAGGCTTCAGAGAGATTCACTGATATGCATGATGTTATGATATAGAATTTCAGATTTATTTCTGATTTACAAGAGCAATTGGAAAAACACATGAGTAATTGTTCCCGAAGAGTTGTTGCTAAATTTGGAGTAGATGCAGTGGAATTCAGGTTGTTCTGGGTAGCATTAAAAAAAAAGATACTGAAGTTATGTGTCTGTTCAGAGTTTAGCATGTATTCAGGGTTGCAAAGGACAAAGGGGAGACTGGGACCACATGAATAAGTGAATAATGAACAATATACTCAAGACGTCATATTACTCATATCAAAGGTACTGGCAAACTGCCGTTGATTTCCTTGAGTCTTTGCTGGGGCCTTGAGCACACACCTAGGCTTGATGTCCTCTGTTCCATTGGACATCATTATGAGAACAACATTTGAGTTAGCTATAGAAATGCTGATGCTCCCAGGAAGCTGATGAGCATGGTACAAACAAATCTTTGCTCAGGGGCAAAAGCACTGTGGAGATGAATACATTGTATTGCCTTCAGAACAGCAAACCCTAAAATTCTTGTCAAACTATCATTTTTAGGTATATTTATGTAGCAAATGACTGTGAATGTCTGTCACTATTTAAGTGCAAGAGTTATAGAGGAACATACTATTATCAAGTAATAAATCACAAATGAATGGCTCATCAATACCTTATTAATATATGAGAATTTTTTCACATCTCACATTAACACAGCATGCTGTTTGTTTTAGCCTCTTAGCTATGCTGATGTTTAAACATAAGTCAGGAGTTTTCACCAAGGACACATGAATTGCAAAGCTGTGATAATCCATATAGGATTCAAAAAGACATGTCAGTCTAGTAAGACTGGCTAATTAATGAAGAGACCCAACTCATTGCTCTGTACATTTTTAGAACTGTTTTGGTTCATGGTGGGCCTTGTCATATAAAATCATGAAAGATATCTCAGAAGCCTCGTTAGACTTTTGGTCTATATGGAGGGAGTCAGACATAAAAAAGAAATAGAGTAACTCTTGGAGACAGTTTTGAGTAATTTTTTTATGAATTTGTATTTCCTGCATGCAAAGGAATCCCAAACTGCTCCTGCTCATCCCATGTCTGTATTCTGTGGATGTGCTTCTTGTGTATAAAATGATCAGCCTGGGGGTTTACTGGCAAACTAGTTCTTCCCATTATTTGGAAGGTCACTTTAAAATACTTTCACATGAATTGAAGCAATTACATTAACGTGATGTAAGCCCTTAGCTCAGGTAGAAGGTAACTCTTATCAGCCAAAATGTGTTAAACTGTATGTAGAGTCCTCCTTTACTAATGCAAAAGGAAATTAATTAACACAAAGCACCATGTTGGCCAGTTAATCCAAAAGAGAACTGAAAGGCAATGATTTCTGTATGCTACTGCTGTTTTTTGACTGAAGGAACATAACCTCAGTAACATGATATTATTTCTGCTTTTGACTGGATGACTAAATCTTTGAATGAGTAAGTAATAAACAAAAGAATAATAATGAGGAAGTGATGCTTTTCAGGCTACATTTTAAATGAATATGGGAAAACATTTTCAAGACTTCCCTATTTTGCAAATGCTTTCACATGTAAATAGTGGCAAACCAAATATTTTAAGTAAGGGATATCAGTGTGTGATACAATCTGTCCATGTATACTTATGGAAAAAATATCACTGTCTGAAATTATCGGCTCTCTGGGTTTGTAGGTGCTGCAAGCTCTGAGCTCTTGGCCACACAGCACAGGGTCTTACTCACTGCATTTGAATCTAATCAACCTTTCCCTGAAAGATAGTAGCAGAATTATATTGGGTTCAAAGCCAGGTGATTGGAATAACTAAGGCAGGTAAAAATCATAAGCAAAGAGACTGAAAGTTCTCCCACTTTACCTAGAATTTGTTCTTGGGCTTTCCTAAAAAGCTATACTGAAAGAGGGTGGTAGATATTAGAAGATATTAGACTTTCTGTCTGTATATATGAAAATACATGTACCCTGGCTTCAGGCTCCTATTCCTTCTACTTCTCCTCTTCTAACAGCGGAGAAGCCAAACCCACAAATTCCATGTGATTTTTCTTCTGCAGGTTTCCCCTACAGGAACCACAGAGACATTGTCTTGGGTACAATAATAATGTAGACAAGTTCTTTTTTAACCTGTTTCCCTTTGGAGGAAGTTTCACAAGTAGTTGTTTTTGCTTCACCTCAAAAGCTGCTAAGGGTAGCGTTTTCGGAAGGGAGTGAGACAGCTATTTCTGTGTATAAATATCAACAGCAACTCCAGAAAGCCCTCACTACTCGCTGTACGGCAGGTGATTCATGTTATACCTTAGCGTTTCTGGCAGTTTTCCCAAATGCACTTTTACAGTGGAGTCATTTCAGACACACTCGTTGATCCGTATCTGAATACACACGCGGAGGCGTCTCTCTGCCGCCACCGCCACAGCCACGCTCCGCCGCCCGCTCCCCGGGGCACACCCCTGTCCCGCCGGCAGGTGGCGCTGCGGGGCCGGGCAGCCCCTCCGGGCGGCAGGAGCCGCTC